GACCCGCTACACAGTTGTTTATGTTGATGTTAACAAGACCAATATAATAGCTTGAAGTTCCACAAGGCAATTACATGAGCCACAATTTGCAAATTCAAAGACACATATAAGATGGAAAGATGAGAACTGAAGCTTACTAGCACGAGACTGAGAATGACAGTTTAATGTTTCTGGGCCACGAGCTCGCCAAAAGCCATAGAGCAAGTACATATGGCCAAAGCATCTCCCAGACATTCAAAATAACTTTGCGCCAGTTTCCTCTCCCTCTCCCTCTCTCGCTCTCCCTCTCTCTCTCTCTCTCAAACACACAAAAAGAGAGACCCAAATAAAGAAAGAGGCAGGATTTAAAGTACAACCAAAGAAAATCCTAAACTGATAGTTTGCCGATTGTTGATTAAAGATGCAAGAAACTAGATCGCACTCTTCAAATGTACATGGAACCAGGTGATATTTTCTGGGGGTTTCAAGCCCTGCATATGACAGATGGAAGGTAGAGGAGAACTACATCAACATTTTAGCAACTCCAATGGGTGGGCTGGCAATGCAGTCAGATATAACTCTACATATAATTATGAGAATTTCAAACCAAACGAGTTCTACAACCGATAATAAAGAAATAGATATTCCCATTTTTTGAATGGTATTAAACCCAACAAGGATAAAAAAAAGTTAATCTACCAATGGCAAGATTGGAAAGCCTCTTAAAGAACATCTCAACTCAATTTGATCTAAATGTAGAATAAATTTGCAACTGTGATAGAGCAGGAAACTTCTTTCAAAATATAATAAATGTATAATTAATATTCCTCAAAAAATAAATATAGAATTAGTACCAAACTTCATTTCAAGAGGAACACCTCAAAACCAAATATATGGCATATGGCCTTCCAGGGACATAAACAAGAGTTTTGTTTCTTCTGGCAAGGCAACTTTCCAATGGATGAAGCAGAACCACAGTGGCTATAACCATTAAGAATAACCAGAATGTGCAAATCAATAGAAATTGAAGAAAACAAAATCAATCTATCAATACCATTGAGTTCAACCAATCAACACTGAAAATGATGAATATAATCTGCAATACAACAGTTTCAATAAAAACTACATAAAACCTCAAAATTCAAAAGGGGGAAGAACGAAACAGAAGTGAATGGAGGTGCAGAAATAGATAAAGGGTTCAAAAAGACCTGATTCACAAAAAAAAAAAAAAAAAACTTGATTTAAAAGGAATGAAAAATCTAATCCATGTTTTTGCAAATGGAGACAACCAATGACAGGAAAAACCGCAAAAATAACCCACAACAAATTTTAAAAAATAAAACAAACATTGTACTATACTGACCTGAGAACAAGGAGGATGACCAAAAGCTTCAAAAACCCATGTAACAATGGAGAGGGTTTCGAAACCGTCAATCTCAAAATTTTCATGTGTTTGTAGATCTGCTCGATCTGTACCTTTTTTAAGTTATAAAGGTCATAATTAGATTTGAAGTAGTTTCTCAGGTCATTAATAATGTCGACACCAAAATTACATCTTTAGATGAGCATTGGAGGTGCACCTTAATTGGATTGTTTAAGTTTGAGACCTCATACAAACCACACCTTTCATGATATTCTAAATTTTAATCAACCAACTCTATCACCCCTTCACTATAACTACTAATCTAAGAGGCATGCGTTTTTTCACCCCGATGGATGTCAAACATGCAAGCTTAAACAATGGAAAATGGTCTCATAGTATACAATCCCTTAACAAAATCGCTTTATTGCAAAATTTTATGAAGAATTGCAACTCATATTTAGTCAATGACACACTAGACTGTCAGAAGCATTGAATATTTCAAAGAACTACCAAGCTACAAGTGATTTAAGGCAAGTTAAAGATCATGACATCAAGATTCTCTTTAACAATATGAATAAGGCCTTTGAATTAGTAGACAACAGTGACTAGAATAAGATTGCAGCACTAGTAATAACAATCAATTCCTAATTCTCAACAGTGACTAAAACAAGATTGTCATATTTTTTGTTTTGTATCTGCATAAATATAAAATTACAAAAAGTGGTATTGAAATAAAAAAATCAGAAAGGAAAATGTTCTATTTAAGTTTCTCGAACTTCCAATTTCTAAAATTTATATTTCTTCAAAATTTCATCAGTTCAATATAACATGCAGAGATCATATATAAAATTATATCCACATTTTCGAAAAGAACCTAAGTGTAAATTCTCCAGACATTGAGGAAATCATCTTTTGTTTGATCTCACAGCATAATTTGAAATCTTCAAAAGACGGAAATATTTGTCTCTTCTTGTGCACAAAAGGCACCACAGGTACACAAATGAAGAGTCCTAAAACCAGCGGCACAAACTGAAATTACCTCAGCAAGTTCACACAAGCAAACTACAACTAAACAGTCCCAAAACCAGTGGCACAAACTGCATTTAACCTCAGCATGTTCATGCAAGCACACAAGTACAGACTCAACTCAGATAACAAATAGCTTGTGACTTGGGGTGCCATGTATTTAGGGTTTTTTGGGTTTATCTTTTAATTAATATGTACATTAACTGTGGAGAAAGGCGGATGCCACAATACGGAACAATCCGCTTCTCAATTGGTATAACAATGTCACACTAGCCCAAGACTCACCACCAAAGAAATAGAAGAAGAACACTCAATATAAGGTGGAAGAAAAACAATTTTTCATTCAATGATGAAAAATACACAAGAATTACAAACTTGTAACATGTGACCCAATTTCCCCACCACACAACTCTCTTTAAATAGAGGTTCTTACAACCATATTTACTAAAATAATTACTAACCACCTAGTAGTTCCATAACTTTAAATTACACAAAATTACAAATACAACCTCACTACGTCACTTAAAATAAAATAAAATAAAACTAATATGGTTTCAAGAAAAATACACTTTTAACAATTTTAACATTAACATCTACACACGTGCGCACTTGGGATCAAGTTCAAATATATTTATTCTACACAAATATATTTATTCTACACAAACAGTTAACAGCATCAAAAAATAAGACATCTACAGACAAATATATCATAAATATTTATTTAAGTAACAATAAGTACATTTGGGATTAGTGCTTTGGGGTGAGGCAATTGTCACATAGGAGGAGGGAATGGTAAAGTAACTAAAGAAAATTTCTAATCTTACTGATGGTCGAAGTCAGTTGATAGAAATCCTTCTAATGTGCCACTCTTTTAAATGGATAAACAACCAATTCAAACTGATTAGAGCCAAGTCTCATAGATACTATTGATGGGAAGGAGAAATTTTATTGAAATAGAAGAGCCTCGCCTAACATGTCTCCAACTAAATGCTAGCCCAAGGCTGGATATAAGTCTGTACGTTTGAACCCATCCATCACATGCTATAAAAAAAATCATACATAGCCAAATTTAATATGCTCACTAGGATTGGTTTGAATTATTTTTTCTATCATAGAAATGGGAGAATCCAATTATGTGGATGTATGGATAATGTTTTAAGTTTGTTAAGAGCTTTTGTTTGACTTTTTGTCTATCAAATTAAAATTTTCAATTGATGAAGATGCAAACAGGAAACAGGAAAGTACTATTGAAATGCTAAGGTGAAAAAAGAATGGTACCTGTGGCCATTGGCATTACAGATAGAATAGAAGAGCAAAGGTATCTAGGAGAGTTTAATTGAATAGGATGGTTGACCTTAAAACACTAGTACCAAAACCATCTGGAACAAGAGTTAAATCGAATGTAAAATCTCTTATTCTTTTCTACGAATAAGGTGACCTTATTCAAAATTTTTCATTTCAGAGTGGCCAACACCAGGAGGTAATTAAGTACCAAAATAGAAGTTCGGTGAACTCTTCATCATGTTAAGGTGTTTTAGCATGTAACTTCAAGTATCAGGACTTCAAAACACTTTATCCTGAACAAATAAATCGGCCACAAACCTTACAGAACAGACCATAAATATTATCTTCAAATCCACAGGCAGGAAATTCGAAAGGAACTAATCAAAGTGTAAATAAATACCAAGATGCAGAATTCAACACTCATATAGAATTAATAAATGAAATATGGATGTCAATTAGTTCAGCTATGCCAAAGGATTGAACCTTAAGGAATAACTACAAGTACAGTTTCCACTTGAAGTGGCAAAAGAAAACTACACACAAAATAAAAAAAAGGGAAAAGAAGAGAGGCAGAAGGACGGAGAAGAAAGAAGGGGGACACAGACGAACAAAAGGACCCCTTGCGTTTTTATGATAATATAAACTCCACTATGAGATATGGGACTACAGTTATGGTATTTTCCATAACAATAACTCAAAATTTGTCAATATTTCCCCATGAATTCCAAAGTTTGAAATATGGATGTCAATTAGTTCAGCTATGCCAAAGGATTGAACCTTAAGGAATAACTACAAGTACAGTTTCCACTTGAAGTGGCAAAAGAAAACTACACACAAAATAAAAAAAAGGGAAAAGAAGAGAGGCAGAAGGACGGAGAAGAAAGAAGGGGGACACAGACGAACAAAAGGACCCCTTGCGTTTTTATGATAATATAAACTCCACTATGAGATATGGGACTACAGTTATGGTATTTTCCATAAAAATAACTCAAAATTTGTCAATATTTCCCCATGAATTCCAAAGTTATAGCAAATCACGCTAAAACCATATTACGTCCTATTTCCTAGGCATTGCATGTAAATCATACATTTTCTTTGTTTCTGCACATGATAAAAAACTCGAGATTGGATTCCAAGAGGAAACAGAAGTCTAGCAAACTCCTTGTCTCAAACAAAAATTAAAGCCATCCCTGCAGTTCACAAGGGTTTAAATATGTAAACCAATATGAAACTGTACTAAAGACTATTGAACTAGGTTCGTCACGATATCCATAATTCAAACTTCACAACCAACAATATAAAGGAAAGCTGCAATAATTTAATCAAACCCAACCCCAAAACAATCGGAGAAGATGATAATTTCAATTATGCATTCATTGAAGATCACCTTACAAGTCTCATATAAGTTCAAACACAAAAGAAAGAAACACTCTTCACCACTAACTCTGTAATACTTGAAATTTATAACACTGTCAAATCTCAAACGTTGAAGTCTTGAGCCTCCCACAAATACTTTACAGATTTACTCCACTAAGAAACGAGAAAAAGGAGACAATTTTCAATAGTACAAGACAAAAATCAAACCCTCCAAAATCATCACTAACCAAGCTTCTCATAATATTTTACTCTGTAGATCTACTTCTCTGATGAGTTGGGTCCCCTCTTCTTCCCAAAACCAATCACTGCAAAAGAACCAAAAAAGAAAAAAGAGAATAAGCAAAGTTAATCTGTATAAATTCAACCCAAAAAATCAAATCATTAATTGCTAGAACAAAATTAGAGGCACATGGATTTGATATAAGACAAAGATAGAAAGTTATAGAGAAAAACAAATAGAGAGATAAATCTGAGAGAGAGAGAGAGAATGTGTGCGTATGTGCCTGCTGTGACGAAGCGGCGGTTGTACTGCATTCGCTTGTGAGCCCTTCCTCTGGGCTTCTTCTTCTTATCTTGCTTCGCTACCTTTGGGGTTTGCCCCCTCACTTTCCCAGCTCGAGCCAAAGAACCGTGAACCTTTCCTGCACAATCAAACCCAAAAGAGCCCACATCAAAAATAAATAAAAACCCACTAGTAAGATCCAATGAACATAGAGAGATAGAGAGAAGGTCAGGACAGCCCTGTAAATCAACCACAAAGTCCGAACCATGGTTGTTTCTCCTCTCTTAGAGAGAGAGAGAGAGCGACAGAGAGAGACTAACCCATGGTCGCTAAATCTGGTGGTTTTGCCGCTGCACCAAAGCTCTCCTCTCCTCACGAGTCTGCGCTTCTCCCTCCTCTGCGACAGGAAAGGGACCCTGCTATCGCCGATAAAAATATAGGATGACTTTCAACGGACCTGATTTCACATCCGGCTTATCAATCACCAGATTCTGTCCGATGACTGTACACATAGACCGCCAAAACCCTAGAAATTATAAACATAGGACAGTTTTGCAAGACTCCAGACTTTGAAATGCTTCCCTTAGACCAAATTTTTTAGAAATATATAATATCGTTAATAGCTCATTAATATATATTAAAAAAAAAAAAAGAGAAATGATTTTGCGAGACCTTCCCACATCTATGTTTAGTGCCTCAAAAGATCACCATTAAATTTATCACATCTGTCTAGAAAAGTGAAGTCTCTGTGTCGAATTTAATGGAATTTAATGATAATTTTTTAGAGTCTTACATATATAGTTGTGGGAGGGTCTCGTAGGATCATTACTCAAAAAAAAAATTAGGAAAAAGTTTATATAAGGTCGCAATTTTAAAATGTAGAAGCACAAATGCACCTCAAAAATCTAACGGAATTATTGTTTTAACGTTGAAAAATCCCTTTAATCAATCATCTCGACATCGAGATCTATGAATATGAAAAAAAAAAAAGTTTTTGAATCTCGAAAATAGTGCATCGTGCAACACATTATCTAGACCGTCCATTTTTAAGATTTTCATATATTTATAGATCTACTTGATTTTAACCATTTTTAAAATTTAAAATTTTCTAATTAGCTATGAAAATAAATTTTAAGACAATAATAAGAATTTTTTACAACAAAATTGCATGCTATGATAAAATTTTAAGCGCCTTAATTGGATTTTCTAAGGTTGCAACCTTATAGAAACTGCACCCAAAAAACTATCATCATTATTGTTTTTTTTTTTTTTAGCTATGTGGGGTTACGATCAAGGACGGGTTTGTTTACTGGAACTTACACATTATCCAGAAAAAAGAAGTTTTTCTTTTTTGGGAAGTGGAATGTTTTCTTCCGAAAGCTTAAAGAAGTTCTGAGTACCTGTGTTTGATAATTTATTGGAATAAATTTAAAAATACTTTAATATTACCTAAGTATAACTATTTTACTATACAAATAATAATAAATGTAACTTTGTCTTATAATATCAACTAATTTAAAAAAAATTATTTACAAACATCTGTAGCTGTAGAGGTAAGGTGCACCTTCAAAGTTTATCATGATATATAATTTTGATGTAAAATACTCTTAGTATTATCTCAAAATCTATTTTTATATCTAATTATAAAATTTTAAATTTCAAAAATAGTTAAAATCAAGTAGGTCTATAAACATATGAAAATCTTGAAAATGACGGTGCAGATAATATGTTGTAAAATGCACTATTTCTGAGACTTAAAATCTTTTTATTTTTCATGGTCATGCATCTCGATGTCTAGATGATCAATGAAAGGGTTTTTCAATATTAAAACTACCTTTTCCAATGGATTTTTGAGGTGTATCCATAGTTCTACATTACAAGGTTGCATCCTTATATAAACTTTTTCCAAAAAATAATACGTTATCTAATTTAGAATATAAATATATTAATAAATAACATAAAATATTTTGTTATCAATGTATAATTATTAACCATAATATTATAATAAACGTGATTCCAAAAATATTAAAAAGCACTTCCATATCATATGATTAAAAATAAAAATAAAACCTCTTATAAATTTCAATGTTATGACATAAAACAAATATTCAAAAAGGATTTCTCCCCTAAAAAATGAAAAATAATGACATCAAAATTAAAAATATTTAGAAAATAAAAAATATTGAATCACACATCATATGCATCAATAAACTATATGCATCATAAGCCCCAATTTTATTAAAAAGTTATTAACTTTCAAAACATGATTTCTCAAAATCCCCATAACCGGTCCGCATTCATGGCCCAAAATCCATGCTCTTTTTTATTTCTATCTATTATATTGGATTTGTAATATGGAATATAGATTCACTAAAATCATTTTCAATCAAATTTCAAGAAATCATATTCAAATTTGTAGAAGAACATATTGGTATGGCGAACCCTAAAATCTGTGGTACATTTATGCAAAAACAAATTTGTAGAAAAAAAATATGAAATGAAAATTAAATTCATTTGACTTATATGAGAACTACATCTTTGCATATTAGACGGTTTCATTATTTCAAATTGTAAATCCCTACAGTCCAGGGATTTACAACTAAGAATAACATATATCTTGTAAAATCCCCATAAGAAAATTATTATATTTAGCATGTAATTGTAATATATAATTATCCCTTTGGGTCAATCAAAAACATAGATCGATTATCCAAAAATTTTAACATGGTATCAGAGTGAGGTTGGTCAATATCTCCACTCCAAATCACCTGATTGGCATCGAATAAAGATAAAATCCAAGCCATTATCTTGCTCAAGCTCACAACCATTTTCTCTCCCTAAACCTGAGTGAAAGAGGCACGAACTCTCGACCTCACGTTGTCTTGGTGGCCTTCGAATCGAGGGTGAACTCGTTCCAAGCAAATAGGGTCGGGATCTGAGACTTGCCCACAGCTGAGTCACCGATGAGCACCATCTTGAACACGTAGTCGATTTTCTGGCTCGGATCACTTGCCATAGTTACACACCACCGAGATTCTCTCTCACTAGCTTCCCTCTCTCTAAAAAGAAGCCCGTAAATTCCCTGCTACCTGTATTTCATTGACACAGTTATGTCAAATTTCCTTATTCGTTGTTATTGCCATGGACTAGCAAATACCTCTTCTTTCTGAAGACTCCACCAATGTCATCCCCGATGGGAACACTATTACCAATAGTAATAGCTTTTCTTCCTCTGTTATTGATTTCACTAGCCCTTTTCATTTGACCAACAATGATAATCCTGGCAATATTCTTATCTCTCACATCCTTGAAGGTGAGAATTATCCACAATGGAGTCGAGCTATGACCACTGCTTTGAGTGCCAAAAATAACTTATCCTTTGTGGATGGTTCTTTAATCATACCTCACATCTCTTCTTCTAATCATCTTCTATGGAAAAGATGCAATGACATGGTCCGATCATGGATCCAAAATTGTATCGATAAAGATATTGTTGATAGTACTTCCTATGAAACCACTGCTTAAGGCATGTGGGATGATCTGAAAGATCATTTTTCTCGTATCTTCAAGTTACGACGAGATATTGTAATTGTTTCTCAAGGTTCTTCTACCATTTCAGCTTATTATACCAAACTTAAATCTTTTTTGGGAAGAACTTGCTTTTTATACCCCTCTGCCACCCTGTTCTTGTGGGTCTTTTAAGGCCTTGCTTGACTATCTACTATATGACAGATTAATTCAATTTCTCATGGGACTTCATGAGTCTTATTACCCAATTCAAGGCCAGATCCTTCTCATAGACCCGCTTCCTAATGTCAATAGAGCTTATTATCTTCTTCTTCAAGAAGAAAAGCAGTGGCAGGTGGTTACAAAAACAATTCCTTTAGAAGATGTTGCCTTTGCAGTTAACACCGCTACACCTACTACAAACCGCCAACCCCGACATCCTTTCAACAATACAGACAAAGTAAAAGGTCGTCGCAAACAGCGGCCCAAATGTGATTATTGTGATTGGGTAGGCCACACCATTGACACATGTTATGTTATTCATGGTTATCCACCGGGTCATCGATTGCACCAACCGAGCAAAAGGACATCTTCTAAGCCTACAATAAATGAGAAAAATATCGTTGCTGTAAATTCAAGCCAAAGTAGCTCACAATTTACACAGGATCAATATCGTCGCTTACTCTCTATGCTTACTGAAGGTAATGTACAACCAATGGTCAACTTTGCAGGTAACTCCACAGCTTATCCATCTTCCATTCCTCTCTATACTTGGATTGTAGACATAGGTGCTTCTGATCAGAAGATTTTTGACACATCTTTGTTTCATTCATCTACACATGTTTCTCACATAACACCTATCAAACTTCAAAATGACTCATTTGCTTTGGTAACTCATATTGGTTATCTTTTTAATACCTACACTTTGCTTACATCATATATCGTGTGTACTTTCTTTTGGATTCAATTTACTTTCCATCATCAAACTTACTACATTATATCCTTGTTTAGTGACATTTTTTCTTGATATGTGCATTTTTCAGGACCTGTACCAGAAGACGATGATTGGAACAAGTAAGCAGCTTGTTGGCCTCTACTATTTTGAAGCCTCTCCACTGACGCATACTGGTCTTTTGTCCATTTCAGTTGGTTTTGATTTATGACGTAGACGTTTAGAACATGTTTCTTCTACTCGTTTGAATTTGTTAGCTAAGACTGTTGATGAGATCTCTGTTTTCAATCCTAGTTATTGTGATGTTTGTCCTTTAGCTAAACAAACACGATTACCTTTCGTTTCAAGCTCTATTTTATCTATCGCACCTTTTGATTTGATTCATTGTGATATTTGGGGATATTATTCCACTTCTTCCCTTGTGAAGCTTGTTATTTTTAACTCTTGTTGATGATGTTTCTCATTCCACATGAGTATTTCTTATGCAAAACAAATTTGAGACTCCATCCTTATTAAAATATTTTATTGCATTTGTAAATACTCATTTTCAATGTACTATTAAGCACATAAGAGCATATAATGGATCCGAGTTCCTTTCTCGTACTATTCAACATTTTCTAAAGAACATGAGGCCACCCATCAATATAGTTGCATTTGCACACTGTAGCAACATGGGCTTGCCGAATGCAAACATCACCACATACTTGAAATGATACGTGCTTTGCGCTTTCAAATTAATATTCCTCTTACCTTTTGAGGAGATTGTATTCTTATTGCCACATATTTAATAAACGGGTTATCAACACCTTTATTATCGAATAAATCCCTATTTGAAATATTATTTAACAAACAATCATCTTACTCCTATTTGTGAGTTTTTGGTTACCTTTGTTACGCTTCTACCATTGCTTCAAATCGAGATAAGTTTGACTATCGCGCTCATAAATGTGTTTTCCTTGGTTATCCCCATGCTCAAAAGGGCTACCGTCTTATTGACCTTTCCACCAATTCTATTTTCACTTCTTGTGATGTAGTATTTCATGAGAACATTTTTCCTTATCAAAATCTCCCTTTCATTGATTCCTCTGTCATTATTACCCTTACTAATACCTGATGACTCCACC